TCCATGGAGGGGCAGCCCATATGCCTATATTCAACGAAATGCTGATAGACAATGGATTTGAACAGATTGGCATGTGTTCGCTTGTGGTATTAAATCGTATTGATGGCGATATTAGTGCCGGTGAATATGAACGTTTTCGCCGAGTTGAGAAAAGGTATCATCGAGTGGTTCAGTCAGCTTGGGGGTTGGCGGCCGCTGGGACACTGATGCTCATGCGCGGGATGGTAATTGTGGAGTACCGGAAGGATTAGTTTTGTCGGTGGTGCATTATTATCTTGAAATTTTTACTTCACCATTATATTTTTTTGTGGTCATGCTTGACGTGGGAGCATCGATCATATCGACAGTTAAAGGCCTCTTATGAGTCTTGCGTTATTTATTAAACTGTGGGAGTGGGGAACCCAAAACAACCGCCTCACCAACCCAGAGAGATCCACGACGACAAGGAAAAAGAAAAAAGAAAAAACAAAAAAGGGAGGGCGTGGGAGGCGTCCATAAATATTTATTTATTTATTTATTTTTCCATCTATTTATGCTATTTATTATTATTATTTTTTTTTTTCTCTTTGTTTGTTTTATCTATCTTGATATATATATATATATATGCATATGTATACGTTTACTGCATCAGGCTTCTTTCACCTCCAGAGCAATCGCATGGTGTTGTCGGCGTCTCATCAAAGTTCTACCGAACGTCCGTACCTGTCGTTTTTGACAAAGCCACAGAACCAGTCATATGTAAAAAGCGGCGACGACCTTCACGTTCACTGGTCTTCCTCCTCGTCACAATTAGATGATGCATTGGGCAGCTCTGCGTTTGGTGAAGAAGGACTCACTCAGTCACCGAGTAGTGAAAACGATGAATCGGACGATGCAAATGAACCCGCATTAAATGCCTACGGGCTCAGTTTGACCCAGGATTCATATGACGAACGAAGCCCATTTGAAGAGTTACACGAATCATTGAGAACGACCTCATCGAATCTGCACCCTTTTTTTGACATGAACGAACAGCGTTTAATTGTTGAAAATGAACGGATGCAACGCCACTACGAGTTGTTTCTCTCCATGGGGCAAAAGAATGCGCCGCCGCTCAATGTTTTAAGCATACTCAGCAAATCGCTTCTTAATGAGGCTCATCGGGTTCATGTTTCGCTCGTGCGTCGTTACAATAAAAAATGCCACGAAAAGGCGCTTCCATTAAAGAACGAAAGGGAGATCAACCGCCAATGGCAGCATATTAAACTGGCCGTCGAGCAGGACCTTTACATGGAGGGGTTCGTGGCAGTTCAGCGTCGGTTGTCGTGCATGTGTATATTTAATCCAGACACCGACGAACGTCTTTACGGTGACAACGAAAATGTTCGCCAGCAGCGTTTGTTTCGTCAGAAGTGCGTCCTGGACCACCTCGCGGCGCAGGCAAGAGAGGGAGGGGGCCTGTTTTACGCCCCGGAGTTGCAGCGGACGTGAATGGACAGGAAACAAAACAACAACTAAAAAAAAAAAAAATAACAATAATAATAAATAAATAAATAATAGAAGGAAAGAAGAAGAACGAGAAAAAGAAAAAAAAAAATAACAAAACGATGCAGTGCGGACCCCTACAGATAAGGGCATTGTGTAGACATTTGCTTTTCTCCTGTCGACTTTCCCCTCTTTTTATTTTATTTTATTTCCACTGCTGTTTTTGTTGCCGCTTTTTCAACGGATGTCGTGTGTCTCCTTGACATGCCCACCTTTCGGCCTTTGCATGCATCCTCACAGAAAAGGGCGCACAACAACGCGCATGCAGGCACGCAGGCATTAATGAGAGGCAACCACATAACAAAAGAGAAAAAACAACAACAAAAAAAAACAAACCAAAAAAAAAAAAAAAATGATGGGCGTGGGTGGGTGGGGAATGGCTTTAAGCGGAAGAAGAAAAAAAAAAGGAAAAGAAAAAAGAGGTTTGTGTGTGGCCGTGAAGAGTGCAGGCGGAAGGAGGAATGGGAAAACTGCAAATAGAAGGCGAAAATGAAATGAGAGGAGGGGGGAAGAGAAGAAAAACATCGTAACAAAAGGAGTTGCGGTTTCTTTGAGTTTTGCCCACGGCGAAAAAAGAGAAATGGAAACAACGCTGGACAGGCGCATAAACACCAGGAAAACAAAGTGTACCAAATAGCAACCAACCAGGAGGAAGAAATAGAAGGCGCAAAGAAAAATGATTGTATTAATTTTCTTTGTGAAAAGGCCCTGTGAATAAACGAAAAAGGGGGGGAAAAAAATGTTCTACATAGAATTGGGAGAAAAAAAAAAAAAACGGGAAAATCGCGGTCTTTTTTTTTTTTTTTTGGATTATTTTTACTTTTGACACACTTTTATTTTATTCTATTTTATTTTATTTTTTTTTTTCTTTTAAATTTTTTTTTTTTTTTTTTTTTTGTCGTTGTTGTTGTTTTTGTTGCATTGTCGCGAAAAGTGTCTTTAGGAAATTTCTCGTGCATTTTTTTTCTCTGTGTGAGTTTTTTTTTTTTTTCTTTTTTTTGGACACGATACATATATATATATATATATATGTATTTATTTATATGTATGTATGTCTCTGTGTGTATGTGTATGTGCGTGTGTGTGTGTACAAGAATATATATATGTATTATGTTTTCT